GGGGAGGGCTGGTGGAAGAGGAAGGCTGGGTTTGGTTTTTCACCCACTGTAGTTTCACCAGTTCATTTCTACCAAATCAATTCACTACTTTCACCATTCAATTTTGCACAATCAAAAGGCTTATTAATTTGAGGTCAAAACGGCTGGTATCCCAACGGATATTTTTCGTATGAAAGACTTGACGATTATCGACTTTTCACATAACCAACTCAGAGAGGTTCCTCCAAATCTTGAGTACGCCAAAGGTGCCATAGTTCTCAATCTAAGTCATAATAACATCGAGAATATACCGAATCAGGTCAGTCGGGAAATTGTGGTTATTTTTTTTTTTCGACAGCTTTTCGTTGCATTGCTTGGCATAGAGTTTAATTCTGAGTTTCCTGCCTTTTAAGGTGTTTTCAAACCTGATCGACTTGTTATTTTTGGATTTATCCAATAACAAATTGGATATGCTACCTCCTCAAATTCGAAGGCTAACCATGGTGCAGGAGCTGAAGCTGTCGAATAATCCACTTCATCATTTCCAATTGAAACAGCTACCAAGGTGAGCCAACTCGTCCTACAACTCGTCCTAATGATCTACACAAGCAGTCACATCATTCATTTTTCCATGGAATTTTTTTCAGCATGACCTCCCTTAGAGTTCTACACATGCGTAACACCAACAGAACCCTCGAAAACATTCCTCCATCCTTAGATGATCTAGAGAATCTTAGAGTAAGTACTTATCTATTGAAATGATATCTCCAGATGTTGATGTAGATCTTAGCGCATTCCGTTCAGGATATCGACTTTGCTGAAAATAATCTTCCTGCTATACCTGAGGCTTTATTCAAGTTGAAAAACTTGAGGAAATTGGACATCAGTGGCAATAAGGTATATTCACAGAATTTTTTTCTCATATTCGAATTTTGATTCTTGGTCAGGAGATCCTTGTTGCGGCGATGTGCACTATCTAATGCACTCGACGTGCTGTAACGCATTGAAGACGAACTACGCTTACCTCCGACGGTTCCTTGTCGTTAGCGATGAGAATGCCTTCATAGTTGTAGATATGTGACACTTTCGTCGCTGTTCATTGCGCTGAAATGGGGTTGAACATGTTAGTGATAGCTGACGGCTTTTGTGTCTCCGCCCACAAGTAGACGCCGTAACACGCCGCACAGCCAGCCGCATTCCTAACCAGGGTGCAGCATCGTTGTGTGAAACACATGGGGGAGGGCGTATTTGGCCGGAGGAGGGGTCGTATGTCATTTCGTATTGTTGGGGGGAGGGGTCGTATGTGCCTCTGAGGGAAACTTGCCGCGTTTTGAAAATTTTTCTCCGGTTGTCGACTTATCGCGCTTTTACATTGGCTACTTACACTACCCACGCCCCCTAACCCTTCTTCCGCGCTCGACGGAAAATTTTTGGGTGAAAAACTGGAAAATGTGGGAAATTTTGGAAAAACTGGTAGGAAGCTGGGAACTTGTAGGAAAGTGGTAGATAAGTGTTGGGGGCGTACCGAAACCCTGACTCGAGAGAGGGGCGGGGGTCGTACTGACACCACCACTCACACATCACGATGCTGTACACTGTTCCTAACTATAGCCAAAAGCGAATTGCTCTTCTCTGCATGGCTCTGTTGTCGATGTAATTACTGCACCTAAGGGATGGCGCGGGCGGCGAGCGCAGCATCAACCTATCCAGACCCTCCAGCCTCGTTTCCGCGCACTTTCAAGGGCCGAACTTGTCACACTTGTACACAACCGTATTCTCCTTGCACATGGCTAGAGCTGTCCTCGGAGATGAGCGTACAGTCTGTCTCCAATTCAGTTACAGTTTTGCTCGCTGCGAATGGAGGGGCGTTTCAGGCGAGATGCGTTTGGCGCGGAATATGACATAGTCTTGTCGCTTTCTCGCTGCAGCAGCTGATGGGAATCGGGTTTGGTGCCGCGCCAATTCGTCCAGCCTGTGAACTTCCCTTATCGGCAGCGAACAGGGACGTTGCCGTGGTACAATACTGCGTTCTCACCGCAACATGGCCCTATAGATATCCTATGAAGGCCTCATTGAAACTTTCCTTTCTCAAGATCGAGAAAATATCAATACCGGAAGGAAGCTGGGAAATGCTGGAAACTTTGAACATCAGCGGAAATGGTATGACGGCTCTACCAGATGGGCTTGTTCGTCTCACAAAGTTGCAGAGGCTCTACGCCAGTGATAACCGCCTCACGTTTGATGGTTTGTTCAGCATTAATCGTCCTCATAGTCTGAACCTCTCGCACTAATAAGGAGTTTCTTACCCCTTTTTAGGAATACCAAGCGGTATTGGAAAGCTCGTGCAGTTGATAGTTCTTCACCTAACACGAAATAATTTGGAGTTGGTACCGGAGGGTATCACACGGTGTGTTCGACTTCAGCGACTTCGACTTAACCACAATCGGCTCATCACGCTACCCGATGGTATCCATCTTCTTCCTGATCTCAAAGAACTCGATCTCACTGAGTAAGTTGATG